CGGTCCATATTGAGTTTAGTACACAAACTACACTCATATAATGATATATGAATGTAGGATAGCCGGTGTGTACATCAGCGATTTCCAATTAAAATTAGTCGGATGGACTACATTGATAAATTATCAAAAGATTTATGACTAAATTGACCAAATTGAAATATTTAAGATCAAATTGACACAAATATAATAGATTTAAGACTCTCTTTTTTTTATAAATATCTTGATTCACAACGAGGAATAATAGATCTGCATCCACTTACACGGATCCACTAGCGGATGTGGATTTTCTGTAAAGTTGGATATATTGGGTCTCGAGATTTCACGACAATAAATTTGTAAAAGAGGAATTGATATAAATAAGCATGAATGAAGGTTCATTTTATAATTTTTTTTTCTTTTTATATGTTTATCCTAAAATCAAGAAGGTGGTTGGAAAGAGGATACTAGCCGCCGGGGACAGTCAACGCCTCATCCGAAATGGTGTCCACTAAACACTATGATATATTTCTTATGATAAATTATAAATTAAGAAAAAAAAAGAACTACTAATAAAGGCGCATCATCATAACTTAATACAAAAATGTGATGAATGTGTCTCGGGCCTACAGAGTCGAATACGATGGCTTCAAAAAAGGCTAACTCTCATTACACAGGATAAGTCTAGATGTAGATTTGCCTTTTAACAATGATATTGATTGTACAATATCATGCAGACTTAGTCAACCTGTCATTTTTATCTGACCTATCTCTTCTGAGCGGACCTTATTTGCTACCATTACGAGCTCTCGGTAGAAAGCTCCATTTGTCTCCCAACTTATCCGCATGGCCTCCGAGCTAGCTTGAAGCACACCCATGGAAACTCTGGACCTGGCTATTCTCTTGACCGCTCTCGTCACTCTCTACTACTTCTTCCTCCTCCTCCGCCTCCGCCACCGGAATTCCAAGAAACTGCCGCCCGGTCCAACGGCTCTGCCCATCATCGGGAACCTCCACCAGCTGCGCGACCTCCCGCACCGCCGCCTCCACTGCCTTGCCAAAACCTATGGCCCCATCATGTTCCTCCGCCTCGGCAACAAGCCGACGGTCGTGGTCTCCTCGCCGGAGGCCGCAGAGCTGGTCCTCAAGACCCATGACGCCGTCTTCTTGGGCCGCCCGAAGGGGCGGGTTACGCACCATCTGACGTACGGAAACAGGGGCATGGCGTTCACCGAGGGTGGAGTATACTGGCAGAGCACAAGGAAGCTGTGCGCGTTGCGGCTGCTGAGCCCGGCTAAGGTGGAGTCGTACGCGCCGGCGAGGAGGGAGGAGCTCGGGAGGCTGATGGAGAGGGTGAGGGCGGCGGCGGCAGCGCGTGAGGTGGTGGACGTGAGCGCGGAGGTGGGGGAGCTCATGGGGAACCTGTCGTGTAGGTTGATATTGGGGTGTGGTAGCAACAGCGGCAGGGATGAGTTCGACTTGAAGCCGTTGATTCACGAGGTTTTGAGCTTGGCTGGTGCTTTCAACTTGGCGGATTACGTGCCTCTTCTTGGACCGTTCGATCTTCAGGTACCATGAAATCCTTCTTAGTGCTCACCAATCATTAACCATCAACGCTGAAATCATCTCCTAATTTGAAATCTCTTTAAACAGAAGAACTTCTCATCGGAGATAGTTTGCGCAAGAATATGTTCTTTACACTCCGCTATGTTTTTCGTTGTATCATGAACTCGATGTATATTATGTGCATTTCTACCTTAGTCTATTCGTGTCATAATCTTTTCGAGGTAGAACTAGAACTAGAACCATTATGCTAGAATTCAATTTACTCTCCGACCATGTTGTTGACAAGGGATTGGCTCGGCGTGCTAAAGTAATTCATCGAGCCATCGACAAGGTCTTGGAGGGCATCATCAAAGAACACGAGCAAGACACGACCGGCAAGTACAAGGGCGACTTTCTGGACACAATCCTCTCCGTAATGGACCAACCCATGACCAATGCGCAGGACAAAGTGGACATGTTGGACCGGACCAACGTCAAGGCCATAGTCCTCGACCTGATCTCCGGGTCGTACGAATCTTCCTCGACCGTGATGGACTGGGCATTCTCGGAGCTAATGAGGAGTCCACACACAAGGAAAAGACTTCAACAAGAGCTCCGAACCGTCGTCGGAATGAACCGGATGGTCGAGGAGTCCGACCTGTCGAAGTTGAGTTATCTGGACATGGTGATCAAAGAAACCTTCAGGCTGTATCCACCCGGTCCACTCCTGATCCCGCATGAGTCCACGGAGGACATCGAGATCAATGGGCATTACATACCGAAGAGGACTCAGGTCATCGTGAACGCTTGGGCTCTCGGGAGAGATATCAACGCTTGGGCCGACGACGTTGAGGAGTTCAAGCCGGAGAGGTTTGCGAACAGTAGTGTGGATCTCAAAGGCCGAGACTTCCAGCTAATACCTTTCGGGTCGGGCCGAAGAGGCTGCCCCGGGATGAACTTGGCGCTGATCAATACTCGGCTCTTTTTGGCCCAAATGGTGCACTGCTTTGATTGGGAGTTGCCGGAGGGGATGTCGCCGAGCGACTTGGACATGACCGAGGAGGTTGGGCTATCGCTCTCGAAAGCGAAGCACTTGTTCCTCGTGCCGAGTTATCGCCTGCTTGTTTGAACTTAATGGAATTTCTTCACTGTTATTTGTAAATATCTGATAGTAACATATGAGACTTTGTTCAGTAACAAGATCAAGTCCCCGTCACTCCATAGTAACACATGAGACTTCAATATTGTTTTTGGTTGTGGTAATATAATCGATAGATTTATTGTTGTGGTACTAATTAGTACTTTACATACTGTTGACACCTATAATTAATTAGATTGTCGACGGCAAAAATAAATAAAGTAACGGAGACAAATGTGTGAAGGTCATCAGGAAGTGACGTAACCCATAAAAGGTTGTTTACGTAAGCATACAGCTGGCAAGCATTGGAATATCCTGGCAGAAAAATTTGGGAATTTGAAATTGAAAAGACTGGAATTGTAGAAGAGGCAAGCGCCACCTGAGCTTCCATACCGAAGGTCATCGATGAAAATTTCTATAGGGAGCCTAGGTCATTGAAGTTGTCGATGAGAAAAAAAGGAAAGGACAGATGTTAAGACGGAAAGAGATCAATGATGGTTATCGCATAGAGAAGGATAGGTGCAAAGACGAAAAAAGATCGATGACGGTTATCGCATAGGGAAGAACAGGTGTCAAGACAGAAAGAGATCGATGACGGTTATTGCATAAGGAAGAACATATGTCAAGACGGAAAAAGATCAATAATGATTATCGCATAGGAAAGGACATATGTCAAGACGGAAAAAGATCGATGATGGTTATCGCATAGGGAAAGACAGGTGTCAAGACAGAAAGCGATCAATGGCGATAATGACGATTATAGCATAGGGAAGGACAGGTGTCAGGATGGAAAATAGATCGATGACGGTTATCGCATAGAGAAGGATAGGTGTCAAGACAAAAAGGATAAAATCGATGGTAGTTAATGGACAGGTGTCATAAAATGAACGGCAAAGATGAGATCAACAGTAGTTATTAAATATAGTATCAGAAGGCAGTTATCAGACTCCCAGTATAAATACTACCCGACAGCCAGAAAAGGCCTCCCCCCCCCTCCCGAACACACATCAAAATGTTATCTTTTAATTATTTTTATTTTCCAGTACTACACTTTTAATTTCCCTAGTTGTAGTCGTCTACATTTTAAGCACGGTAGTTTTGTAATGTCGTATCGATGGAGTTCAGATGCCGCTACTCAGTGGCCAGACGAATTTGTCTAAATCGATTATAAAGTTTGAAGCTCTTATTAGCCAAATCTCGTCACGGTATAAATTTGTGTTGCTGATCGAAATAAACAAGCTTTTTGTTCATGCCCGGATATCTCCTATCCAGAGTTAGCCACAGAACCCGGTCTCCTCTTATTAAGAATCGAAAAACAACTTTCGGTGAATTATATTTCGTCGCGGGAGCATTTCCGGTGAAACATAATTTTAGCACACCCGGTGGGACCTGTATAATCGATTTGAGGAGTTATAATGGCACGAACAAGTAGTCAGAGCCAATTAGATCATAGCAACAACATTGTAGGAAGTAATGCACCTTTGAATCCTGTTGTAGAGCGGGTGACACGTGCAGAGTCATCAAATAGATGGACAATGGCAGAGCAAGGACAAATAAGGGAGATGGATGTCCCCAGACATCTCACTGAGGAACAGAGAAGACAATTGCAACCAAATCCAGTCACAATTGCTACTATGAGGAGAATCATTGAAGAACAGCACAATGATTTAGCCAATTTGGTCAGTAGATGTGTAGCCGATACTGTTGGGCCACTGATTATCAATATGGTCCAGGAGATTACCAGCAGGCAAAGCCCATCGATTAATTTTACTCAGCCATAGATTGTTCCTGTTGTTCCTCCCGGCACAGTCAGAAGTCTTGCTCAGCCCACCGCCACACTTCCTGGCATTGGAATCACAGGGCAAGTTACGTCTCTTACACCGGTAAGGATTCTTCAAAAGGGAGAAAATGCGATGGTTAGCCAAGCTTATAGCCATGCGACTACAAGTGAAAATAATGCGATGAATTTATTACCAAGGAATGAAAATACCACTATAGGTCAGCCATTGACCAATAGTAGTAATCTATCTGGACTAGCCCAAACAAATGAAGCTAATGTGAATTTGGTTCCTCGGCAGACAATGTTGTACCAGTCGTATGACAATGTGCCATCAAGTGGTTTTACTACTCAACCTAATCTTCCCCAGGCATTGTTCAGAGCAAATACTAATGCAAAAATCTAGGGGAGATTGCCAACACCGCCACAACCAATACCACAATACCCAGTTCCACAACCACCACAGCCAATACCACAACAACTAGTGCCTCAGTATGAATAATTAATTTCGACGTACATACTTACATATCTTTTGTTCTTTTCTTTGCAGATATGGTAGAATATATATATATTGATTTTGATGTCATTGTGTTGAAATCACTCTCTTCTCTCAACAACACTGTTGGTCTGGAGAGTCAGCTTGATCGACGGTCTATCAATGGTGCTGTAATGGCATTCAGAAGGCATAGGTACTTCTTGTTTCTAGCCATGAAGGAATTATGCATGTGCTGTCAACTGTGATTATAACTTGTCATTTTGTAGATTCTGCTTGTGTTTCTTTTGCTCACCACTGATAGATGCTTTCACCAAATGACTTTTGTAACTGAGGTTTACGAATATGGCACTGTTTTGATATATCTGTGCAATTGAGGGCTACTTTTTTTTCTCTTCTTTCATCATGTCTTTTATATTGTTTGAACATTCTACTTCCTTCGGCAATACCATTACTATTTACAACTATTGTAAGTTCTTTTTTAACATGAATTTGACACCGCATCCCCATCTCCACAAAAAGAATATTTGTGTTAAATGTGTACAGGATTGGCTTTCTCATGTTGCTTGAAACTTGAAAAGGATGATTACTTTGGATATTTTTCTGGATCCTTAAATAAAATGAAAGGAGAGCTCCAGTGTGTATCTGCTATTTTGTTTTAGTATAACATACTGCTGATGGCATGCATTGATTCGTTATTTTTTTTTTTTTGTTACTCTATGCTGAGTCGTTAATTGCTAATCTACCCTTGCAGCCCCTTCATAATGGAGTGCTTGAGGGAGTTCTACTCGGTGTATGATGATACAGTTCAGATGGAATGGGACCGATCTTTTGACAAGAGTGGCAGAAAACTTTTCAAGAAGTGGGAAAAGAGAAGTTGAGCTGCTGGAGTTGAAAGTGCTACCCTTCTTCGTCTTCTTTCCTATTAGTAGCCAAGATATTACGAGGTATCTCTTTTCTTTGGTGTATGATTTTTTTTGTTGGAAGTATCTATATGCAGAAGCATGTAGCACCAGGAGCCATGTGGGCCCTACTTGACCCAATTGCATATGAGTGTGTGGTCCACATAATTTTGGGTGCAAGAAAGTCATGGCCTTGTTTCGCCGGTTTTTACTCCGTCGAAAATCTTTCACCGAACGCTGCGTTTCGGATTTTATTAGGGGAGACTAGGGTCTAGAGTCAAGCTTGGACAGAGAATGTCAAATGCGTTTATTAATCCCAATTTAGATCTTACACCCTGACTCGATATGATGCCGAACTCGACGATACTAACAATGAAATGACAACTTGCAAATACCGAGACCAAGCTATGTCAGAATGTAATCAACGACACAACTAATATGCGGTATTACCATTCAAGGTACGTCAGAATCTAATCAATGACGTAATTTGAGAGAATATGACTGGAATCTAATCAACAGCTATATTCCAAGCACAACGCCGGAATTTAATCGACGACGCTGAACTAATGGCACAACATTGGAATTTAATCAACAATGTTGAACCTGATAAAGACTCTTGCCGGAATTGAATCTACGACGCAGAATCTGAAAATTATAGCTAAAACTACTCCTAATGCGCTAAAAGTAAAGCTAGATAAAAGATATGTTGTGTTGTTTGCGAAAAGGGGTCCTTCTACGTTGGAAATCCTTGAGTATTTATAGAGCAGCTTGACAACTGTTGACCGAACACTTCTCCTTGAAAGTCGTTTTCCACTTCCTTACATTTCGCGCTTTAACCGTTTCCTAACTTGTCGATATTGCTTACGCTCCTTGGGCATCACGTAGTAGCTAGTTTTCTTCCACGTGTCTCTTTATTTCTTGTCATTCTTCATGCCCACGGTCATATCTTTACCTTTTGACACGTGTAAATGAATTTTTCACCACGTATTACCATATGATTTCGTGCAAAACTCGTGATTTTGAATTTTGTCGACGTCACGTGCAAAGCTCGTGATCTTGGATTCATCGACGCCATGTGCAAAGCTCGTGATCTTGAACTCATCGATGTCACGTGCAAGGCTCTTGATTTTAAACTTGTCGACACCTCTATAGTGTGTCATATCGATAATTACCTTAGGTATTCTCAATGTTTCTGGGCCTGACTTGCGGCCTTTTTCGGATTTTCGCCATGTGAGCCGCACTTTACATCCTCTGTAACTTGTGAACGGCCCACTCCCACATATGCCCCCTTTTAAAAGGAATAAATTTGAATTTATTTCTTTTAAAGGTGTACCTTGTCTGTGTACGAATCCCTAGGCGATGATCATGCTTTTCTGTCCTTTGACGTCCTTTCGAGCAGTCCCTACGAATTCTTCATCCAATACCTGTTGGACATATCACCTCGTATTTTTCCCGAATAGTTGTGACTTTTCAAATCGTCTTCTTCATCCTTTATTCTTGTAAAAACCTTGTTTCACCGACGATCCTTTCTTGAACCCTTTTCCGATCTTGATCCATCGCTTCTTATGGCGTCCAAAAAGTCTGAATATTCAGCCAGCGATTACATCGCAGCTTTTGATAAGTTTAAAGACGATCCGCGCGCTGGTAATTACTTTTTTCATTTACCGAAAGCTGTCGAGGATGAATGCAACTGTTTCTCTCTAGGCCCCAGTTTCATGGACCATCTCAATATACCTGTGAATCTCCAATTCCATTTCCCATATAAACACAGTGAGACTTTGGCACTGCAACATTCTTTTATTACGGATGTGTGGTCCACCGGGTCTTCTCAATTTCGAGGTTTCCCTTCTTACGAAGAGGATTTTCATAAATGGTTTATTTGGTTGAAGGCTGACCAAGAAAATCGACTTTTATGGATAGCTGCCAGAATCGACATCGCTCTCGAGATTAGTATGTCATCTTATGACCTAGAACGTGGGTTATTGGGCTCCGCCGTCACTTTCTGGTCCTCTTCCAACAACTGTTTCTTTTTTCCTTAGGGCCACATGTCCATCACTATGCTCGATGTGTTTGCCATAGCGGGTTTTGAATTGGTTAGTCACGCCATCGAGAATTTGCCTGTACTGTCCACTCCTTTTATCTCTGAAGATGCTCTGGCATACAGCAATTTCTTATCTCGATTTCATCGAGCTTCGGGTCCTGTTACCCAAGATAAGCGTCTCTTTTTCTTGCTCTTTTGGCTATTAAAATATGTGTTTTTTAGTCCTGCCCTTAAAGTTTGCAAAGACTATCTGCAAATTGCCGCAGCCCTAGCCACGGGACAACGCCTCGCATTGGCCCCTCTTGTTCTTGCAGTTTTATATAGAGGCTTTACTCATGCTTCTCGGGCGATGAAGTTCGGGGATTCTGGAACTATCTCGAGCGCTTTTTGGATACTTCAAGCATGGATAGTTTTGTATTTCCCTTCCCTTTTTAGTAAAAGTGATCGTCATCTTCCCTAATTGTCTCTGCAAGGGTATGGAAGACCTGTACCTTTACCCTTGGGGTGTCGATTGCTGAGCTGTTCCCCTCGGCATATTGCTTCTCAAGCGCCTCCTTTTATCTTCTATCTTCGAGCTTTTATTGAACTGAATCATGACCGAGTCATTTTCTTTAAATATGGCCATGGAGAGTTTGATTATTTGTTCGATCCAGCTCGATTCAACCTTTATAGGCCTTTCTAGACTTGTGCTCTATCTACAGTAGATCTTCCCATATGGACTTCATTGAAGGGTCGATTCTATCCTGGGTTTGAGGTATACTCTTCACAATATTGTGCTAGGCAATTTGGACTCTGGCAAGCAATTCCCATGCCAATTCCTTATTCAATGGGCTTCACGGAAGGGACCAAGAAGAAAGAATACTCTCTCAAGAATCGAAGCCCACTTATCTGTTATATTGAAATTGCTAACACAATGCGCACCCATTTCAGTGCAGACCTCCCTAATGGTTTCAGAGCCCATCCAGGATACCTTGCTGAATGGCAAACTTGGCGGTATTCCTTTGCATTTGAAAGTACATACGAAGAGGCCCTCCGGTCCGCGATTGGTCGTGTGAAGCGGAGTGGTTCTAAGAAACCGATTACCCAAGGTATAGACACCACCATTCTACGTTTTTATTCAGTTTCAATCCGGTGCATCTTCTAACTTACCATTTCTCAACTCATAAACAGAAGAAGACTTTGACGCAGAGGGTGTCAATGCTGTAGAAAATCCTACTGATGGTAAATCTCTGTCTTTCTTCCTCTGTGTCAACTCACCTTATCCTCTTCTTTATATTAGTTTGTTACTTATAAGGTCTTTCTCCCCTCTGGATTGTCTCTGGGATAAACGAAGAGGAAACATTGGAAGAGATGGTATCATTGCTGAAAAGAAAAAGGAAAAGATCTTCTCCTTCTTCTCCAAGAAAGAAGTCCAGCACTTTATCTGTTGAACCATCTGCTGAGCCGGTTGCACGTGATGTGGTTTCTTCAAAACCCAATACTTCTTTGGATAAAGGTCCGAGAGATAGCATCTCTGTTCCCACAATTCAGAACCCTATTACCACCTTGGCATCTACTGGTCTTCTTTCTGTCGAGCGGGTTAGCAACATCTCAATTCCATCGACTGGTATTTCTAGCACCACACTGGCCGCAACTACCTTGATATCTTCCGGCGCCTCTGTTACCAATTCGATGGCATCCCGAGTACAGCTCTTCACTCAGCCTGGTTCATCCACTATTGTGACCCCTGGTAAACTTTTGTCTTTGCCTGGCGTATTCTGCTCGTGTTTACTGGATTTATTTGTTCTTCTTCTCTTTCTAGTTATTCCAGCAATTGTTCCCACTTCTTCATTTGCCCGAACTGCTCCGATTCTTGATTCCACCGTAGGAACCACTGTCGCTCCTAATATGGTTGGACGTGAGACAACTATGCCTGAGATAGGTACATGTCTTTCAAACATTACATTGTCTTCAATTCTAATTCTGATATTGAGATTTTATTCCGGTTTTACAGCATGTGGCCCATCGACAAGTATTATGGTCCAACGGACCACTATTTCAGCCACTGTGGTCAATCCTTCCACAGTCTTACCATCGACGTCTTCTCCAGTATTCGTAGCTTCGGCTCTCGCAACTAACTCTGCTGAGGCCTTATCATCGACGCCTGTCTCATCAACTCCTGATCATCAGTCGACTACCGTTTATACGGACAAGGCAATGCACACTATAAACGAGGCTGAATTGTTTTGGCATTTAATCCATATGACTTGTCGCCTCATTCTTGTCAATCAAAACTGGCCATTGTCAAGAAGAAGATGGAGTTGACGCACTTTTTGGACTTCTCTATGGAGGATTTGCGAGGATGTCATATGATACCGCAGCCTTAGAGCAGTTCAAACTCCTCATTCAGCGTCTTGGGAATGACAATGCCGAAGTTGGGTCTATTCTTCCTTCGACACTCAGGAAACGACTCAAGATTTTCTCCCAAGAGTTTCAGACTATGTTCGATAAATATCAACAACTCTTGGGCCACGTACGAGAGGTGGCCATTCCCACAGAAATACATGAAGAGCCAGCTGACATTGTGAAGGAGACTAGTGAGACAGTAAACACTCGTCGTGAGTCCCTTCGGGCTATTACGGACGAAGTAAGTGTCCTTGTCGAGAAGGAAAGGCGTCTTACGGTGATCCTCGAAGAGACTCGTCGACGACGAGAGATAAAGCTTCGTCAACAGGCAGAAATTGAGCAAGAACTGCGTCATCATGTCGGTGTCTTGAAAAGCTTGAAGCAACAGGAGCACATTCGAGTACTGAACTCCGCAATAGAACATCGTCAAAATCAAAGCGCATGTACTTCAGAGATGAATAGACTAGAATCTCAATTGTTTTTGCTCCAACGAGGGGTTCACGACTTTCTGTCGGATAAACCTTCTTCTCCTCAATAAAATATCCTTATTTTCATTGAGTGTCCTACGTGTGCCACGATTGTTCATAACCAGTTTTGATAATGGATCCCGAGCCTTGCA